AGATCTTCTTGTACCTGAAGGTTATTCAAAGCAAACCACATTCTAAGTGTAAAAATATATTTTGCCATATTGGTTCACGGGTGATAATTTATGATTTAAGTGTGAACTCGATATCTGACTCATTCAGTGCCTTCATGGGTGAATATCAACTGGTAATAACAGTATACCTGCCAACTCTCACATCTCAGGTGTGAGATCTCACGCCTGCAGGTTGAAAATGTCTATTTCATGCCTGCTCATGTCCACAAACCAATAATTGGAAATCATTTTTCGCACTTAACTGAAGAATTTTATAGAGCTATTACAATCTTATTTAAATAACACAATTTCAACAAAAACTATGTACATGTAGAGTCGAACCAACGAAAGAAAAGAAAAGCACATGTTAATAATGGTCTACTTCTTTCAATTCTCATGGGAAAAGTACTGGCAATGGGACTGTTTGACAAAACGGGAAATGTTCAAAAGATCTGAAGTGAGAAGTCTTCAAAATGTCTTCAGATATCTACAAATTATAAGGTTGGGTTTTCTTTGAAATTTGCGGCAGTCCCACAATAAAAGCCTCAAGCTAGTGACTCGGAAAGGTTGGCAAATATGTATACATGCACTTGTAACAAAATCCACAGTAGGTCATTTCCAATTTTATACATGCCTAAAGTCTGTTCCAAAACAAGTCCTACTGCAGAACCCATCTAATGACAAGTAAATACTGTAGCTCTTACTCACATGTTTTCATTTTTAGCTAAGTCAAAACTAATGGCTTACTAAATATTATAGAACATGTTTTGAAACAGGGACAAACAGCAACATGGAAAACACCTATTATTTGCATTTTTTCCCAACAAACTTGCATTATAGAAAATTGACTTCAAGATCGTACTTACACATTTTTAAAACCATGCTTAGGGACCCGAATATAGAACGGTGTATTTCCTCCTTCAAATCCAAGCCTGGGTTTTGTGTTTCTTTGAACCTGTCCTTTATGACCACGCCCAGAAGTTTTTCCCCGTCCAGATCCTCTACCACGACCTTTACGATGTTCCTTTGGAATAAAATGAAGAAGAAGTTTATAATTGTCGTGAGATTTTCCTAGTACCTATGGCAACTTTGAGGGGAACACTTGATGTAAACAATACATTTTCTACTGAAAAATATCAAATTTGCATATTTATGTCCACGGATGGA